GCAAGGGTATTTTAAAAAAGTGGGTCCCAGAGTGGTTATAGAAACAATATATTAACTATTGATTTGTATGTGCTTCCATGGGTACCCTAGTACCAGCAAGGGTATTTTAAAAAAGTGGGTCCCAGAGTGGTTATAGAAACAATATATTAACTATTGATTTGTATGTGCTTCCATGGGTACCCTAGTACCAGCAAGGGTATTTTAAAAAAGTGGGTCCCAGAGTGGTTATAGAAACAATATATTAACTATTGATTTGTATGTGCTTCCATGGGTACCCTAGTACCAGCAAGAGTATTTTAAAAAAGTGGGTCCCAGAGTGGTTATAGAAACAATATATTAACTATTGATTTGTATGTGCTTCTATATGTATTTTTTTCTTGTCTACCAAGTGATAGAATTAAAATTTTTTTAGAACCATGATTATTTCACTTATTGCATGCTGTGACCCCCTATGGCACACTGAAAACTGCATTTCTATACCTGTGGTGTGCACAGCACAGATAACTCATTGCTTAGTTTAAAAAACCAATTTATATTACTGTGAAAAACAAAAAGCATCTCTTAAAATTGATCTTCATGCAGCTATTTTGATTATGGTCTTAGCTAAATATGAGGTAGTTTGAGATGTTGAAAAATGCTTTACTAGCAGATGCTAGAGAGTTAACTCATAATCTCAATTTGTAGAGTATTTGTCTTGCTTGTGCAAGAGAGGTCTTGAGTTTGATTCCACACTGAGAAAGTTATTACAAATCTGAGTGTTTGAAAATACTTTTAATGATTAAGCACTTCTAGCTTGCCTATTTTAGTCATTAACGATAATCACTTTAACATATAGTTAAGAATAGCCCAAGAAAATGTATTTTGTTTAAAAGCATTTAATAACTAAGTTCTTGTTTCAGGTAAGAGTAACTGTGTAACATTAACCCTTTGTCACAAGGTCTAAGAAATATAGCACTGCGTCAGATAAGTTTTAAAAATACTTTACTCATTGTTTCTTTATTTTTTTAATCGTGTGAAATAATTCTTCTGATTCAAACTTATCCAAATTTTCAAAAATGCTAATAATTTTAACATATTTCCAAATCCAAAAAATTAATAAAAATCAAAATCATGCTATGCTTTATAAAACGAAGACTTCTGTAGTAACATAGTAGTGAAGACTTCTGTAGTGAAGACTTCTGGGTAACAAATCTTGGCACCAGTCAAAATTTATTTCCTATACGTTTACATCAAAAATGTTAGTTAGGGATGTTATTATTCATACTTAGAAAAATGTAGAAATGAAAAGGTTGAAAGATTTTTAGGTAAATGATGGTTTATTAGTTTTGGTTATTTCAATGTTAATAAACTGCAACAATAAAAACTAAGTAAATAACTTGATTTTTTGGCATGTTATATTATAGTTTTATTTTCTAGAATGGTGGTCTCCAGCAGCAGGTTGATGAGCTAGAACTAGAACGAGATGAGTTAAAATGTCGTTGTCATGAACAACAGAGGAATATCAGGGAACTGGGAGAACGGATACGCTTGTTAGAAAAAACCAACACACAGTTAGAGTTAGATAATGAAACTTTAGCTTACAAAGTAAGTTAACTCTTGGTGTTGTTAATTGTATTTATTAATATAGATATTTTTTTCTGATAAATGATGTAGTGATAAATAAATCCATGAAGTAATATTCCCTGGAAGAACATTTCCACAAAAACCTTTTCAGGTAATGAGAATGTAAAATCATATTTAGTTGAATTAATAATTTGGCACTCGGCAAATATAGCACTCTGCAAAATTAATGCTTTTCCACTTGTCTTAGGAAATTATGTAGCATTGTTCCTATTTCACAACATACAGCAAACATAGTATTGTGTGGCATTAATCCTTTGCCTTAGCAAGTATTAGCACTGCATGCCATTAATCCATTCTCACCAGTTGTAGTAAATATAACATAACATCACATTAGTTCTTTCTCACCAGGTGTTGCAAATATAGCACTGCACTATTAATTCTTTGTAATTATATGTATCATATATGGGATTAATCCTTGTCACTTAGCATATATAGTTTAACACCATGTCTTCATATGCCATTAGTCCAAAAAGTGATTCATCTTTCAAAAATCTGTTTTTAAAAGCATCCGTTAAATTGTATTTCCACTTTCATAATTATCCTTATTGCATAATCAACCATTGTATTATATAACCAGTATTATCATAAATAGTCATGTTAAACTCGAACAAAAAGACAATGTTCACATGTTGCTCAACCTAAATATAACACATTTTAAGTTCATGAGCCTATTAAAGAAAAGTTGTAATTCAAATTCAGTGCCTTATCTGTACTGTTTTGGTCTTTTTTGTTGGTGGTTTTATCATGATTCAGTCCTATATGTCCTTTCTCTCTACTCTCTCTCTTTTTCTTTAGTTCCTTCTGATCCATATTGTCAAATACTCTCACTTCTTATGAGATTTTTCTCTTATCTAATTACATATAGTCTTCAGTTACTTGCATATAGCTCAGTATTTCATGTTGCATAAGATATTTAATACAGTAATAAGAAGAAATATCTGTATTTATGTTTTCTGTGTAGGTTCACTGCAACTTAACATGTGTAACTTAGTATCTAGAGCCCAATTTGTATTCACTAACAACAGAAGCATTGATTGCTAGGTTACATTATTGTTTAACTAAAGACAAACAAATGCTGGTCTTGGATTGGACTTTTTATTACAAATTAATATGACCTTAAATTGTTTTGTATTACTAATATATAATATTTACACTTGGTGACTTCCCAGTGTTTTTAATATTTTGAAGTGCATGTAATAACATACATGATTTGCATGCTAGGTAGTTAAAGTTGTAGTTAAATTATCAAGTAATATTTAGCAGTAACTTGTGTTGTAAATATGTAATGAGAATGTTTGTTTGAATCAGTAAATAACATTTTTTATTTTTAGTTACTCTTTAATGCTTGAAATTTAAAAATATTAACATTGTCATGATATAAAACACTGTTTAGTTTAGATATTATTGATTAATTTATTTTGTGAGTGAATATTTTGTTGTAATAAGAGTTAAAAGCAGACGACTGTAGGAAGTTGTGTTTATAAGTCATTGATGTTGAGACTATCAAACGTCACGTACATAACATTGATGTCAAGAATATAAAGATTTCTAGAAGGTGGGCAGATGATTAAGTGATAGAGACATAAATAGTGTGAGACAAACGGAAACAGCAGACAGACTATCAGAAGAAAGTAAAGTTATGGTCCAAGGAAAAGTTCGGCATGAAGTTAACTACCACAGAAGTGATAGACTTAATGATTAACATAGGCCTAATGTTTAATATGTTAGAGTAAGACTAACAGTAAAAAAGTAGATAAGAATAATAATTTATTCCATCAAAGCGTGGTTCTAAAGTAATTGAATCAGCCTGAGTGCACTTTGACAAAAGGAACAGAGGATATTTTGAGGAAAGAAGACCAGATGATTATGGTAACTCGTGCCACAATTGTCAGTGTATCACACACGGAATACTAGTGCGATGGTAATAGAGAAGATAGTTCGGCTCGTAAACTGAAATTCTAAAGCAATTGAATAGGCCTAAGTGGACTTTTGACAAGAAGAAGAACTATATATATATATATAGTGTTTATTATATGCCTATAATCTCTATAGTTTGAAGACTTTGTTGTACACACGTTTAACTTGTTCCGAATGTATATATATATTACTTGAAAACAAGTGAAGTGCAAGTCGTTCATTTATTGTTGAATTTATCACTAATAAGTCACAGACACCTACTGTAAAATAATCTTAAGCCCAACAACATAGTATATATTTATACTATTAAGAAATATAAGTAAAAGCCTCTTATTTTGACAATTGTCGAAAATAATTATATTTTAAATCCTGACAATTGGCGAGCCATAGCCAGGATTATACAGAGGTAAACAGCGATAGAAGAAAATGTGAATGACAGCAGAATTAAGTAGGTCTATATACGCACAACTGTAATAGTAATGACAGTAGTGTAGAGATTATGATTACGCTATACAACCACATCAGGTGATTTTGATAAATGGGTAGAAAAATTATCTCATCTTGGGTTAAAAGACAGTGAACTACGAGAATTTGTTAAACAACAACAAGAACTAGAGAGAGAAGAGCGTAGACAGAGAAGAGAGGAAGAAAGAATAAAAAAAAAGTAAAGAGAAGAGAAGAAAATGAGAGAAAGGAGAGACTGGAAATAGAGAGAGAGAGAATAAGAACACAGACTTAGATAGCAAAACTCACCCAACCGAAGGAAGGATGACCCAAGAATGACAATGAAGTCAGGGCTAGCCGACCTAAGCTACCCATATTTGATGAACATAAAGATGACATGGATGCTTTCCTGGAGAGATATGAAAGATTTGCTCGAAGTCAGAACTGCAGTAAAGGCGACTGGGTAGTCTGTCTCAGCCCACTTCTCACAGGAAAAGGCCTATAAGTATATGTAGGCATGGCATCACAAGATGCCATGTATTATGACAAATTAAGAGTGGCTTTACTGAAATGATATGAACTTACGGAGGAAGGTAGTTCATTAGAAGTTGAGAGGAGTCAAACCTGACTCTGTAGAAACTGTATTTCAGTTTGTGGCACTTCTGTGGTGATATTTCACCACATGGACTGACATGGCCACGTGTGAAAATAGTTTTGAGGGACTGGCAGACCTATTAGTACGTGAACAGTTCATGACCCTGTGTTCAACTGACATGTCACTGTTCTTAGAGGAGAGACACCAAAAGATGTAGACGAGATGATCGAGCTGGCAGAACAGTATATGGAAGCCCATGGAGGTAATATAACTGGCAAGTCCAAGAATATCCAGTTAAAGTTGAAACCAGTGATGACTGACCAGAAGCAGGAGTTTACCAAAGGTGACAGGAGGTTAATAGACAATAGAGAAGAGATGCAGTGTTTGTTATAAAAAGGATGCACTGCAAAGGAGTGCAAGTCCATTACTAGCAAACATCAGCAAAAACCTCAATGTAAATCAGCTGGAGCTACTTACAAAGACAGTGCTGGTAAGAAACAAGAAAAGAGTGATTGGCACTATGGATGCTGCTGCCATAAGAAAGAGAATCAAAACTATTTGTTAAATTCAATACAGAAATGCATGATTGATCAGTGCACGACTAATGGTTGACTCAAGTTAGCAAACAGATCAACAGTGCCAGTAGTGATGGTAGCACGTGACAAATATCAAGAGCTGCCAACAAATCATAATATGCCAATATGTGAAGGCTATGTTGGGGACAAGAAAGTGAAGTTTCTTTGAGACACTGAGCACAGTAGTGTAGCAATGAGAACCAGTCTAGTATCTGAAGATCAGATGACAGGCAAAGCAAATTTGTGTGTGCTAATTGATGAGATAGTGAGAAAGTTTTCCAAGGGAAAAATAAAGGTGGATACTCCATATTATGTAGGAGACCTTGAGTCTATGTGTATCAAGGAACCAATACATGACTTGGTGATAGGAAACATACCAGGTAGTAGAAATTTGGAGGAACTAGACAGAAAGAAGATTGATGAAACATCTGCTGTCACCACCAGAGCTCAAGAAAAGAAGAGCAAACAGGACATCAAGCCCCTGCAAGGGTTAAAAGGTGACTCCTGATTTTAGGTTTACAGGAACTGAAGGAAGCACAGAGAAACTCTTCACTGCAGAAACTTTGGGACAAAGCCCTAGGAGAAAGTCGAGCACAAAACAAAGGGGTACGATACTTATAGAATAGAGAACCAGAAGGGAGTTCTATACCAAACCTATCAAGGCAGTTATATTGGGGAAGTTAAACAGATCACAGTACCAACAAAATATCAAACTCAAGTGATGAAGTTTACTCATAATCAATTGTGGGAGGACACCTAGAAACAAAGAAAAACAGACAGAATCACCTGTAACTTCCAATGGCCATTGGAGATGTGAGTAGATTCTACAGGCCATGTGATATTTGCCAAAGGACGATACCTAGAGGGAAGGTAGCCAAAGTGCCATTGGATGAGATGCCTCATAAAGAAGAGCTTTTCAGCAGAGTAGCTGTGAACTTGATCGGGCCATTAGCGGCTGTTTCTGACAAGGGCAACCGGAATGTGCTGAAAGTAGTCGACTATGCGACACGTTATCCAGAAGCAATAGCACTGGTGAAGATAGAGACAGAGAGTGTAGCAGAAGCCCTCCTGGAGATATTTTGCAGAGTAGGATTTCTGAGTGAAATCCATCTTTACTTAAGAAATGATGCAGAAAGTATGTAGACTCATCAGTACTTGACAATTCTTTACCACTCCATACAATCCTAAATGTAATGAACTTTGTGAGAGAGTCAATGGAGTTTTAAAGAGCGTGATA